ACAGATATGTACCTTTTATCAATGGTATTTTTGCGATAGCAAATGTAACAAATTTGTTTGGAATTTTAACAGAACTCAGCAGTTTCTCTTCAGAAGCCTTTTCACTACTCGCATAGATACACACATATACAATATGCCATTAAACATTCCCCTTCCATCTCACAGTTGTAGCTCATGATGGCATGCAAGACTTCAATGTTAAGATAAAACAGTATTTAATTACAACTGCAAATAAATACTTAACAAGAACAAAGAAGTAAAAGTCAGCAAAAGATAATTAACCATTTCAGTGAATAACCTTGTTGGTAGCACGGTTCGGCTTAACATCCGGTAAACCCTAAATCAAAACCCAAATCATTGATGCACAATAATTCACACACATTCAACTGGATATTTCCACCCAATAGTCACTGCAGCCACTAGCCTGACACCACTATTTATACACCTGAAGGAAGTCTAGAGTGTCACACTCAAACCTTGTGTCAGTAGTTACTCATTTTCTTCCTATATGACAGGGTTGCCTGTTCCATTTACACTGGAGATGTTAAGGTTATTCTGTCTCTCCTTTCAGAGGTGGATTTGTTTTTTGAAGTTATCTTCTAGCCTTTGCATAAAGAGGCAGGACCTACAATGCAGCAGGTAGTTTCAATTCAGAGTTTCCTTCTCCTAGACTGGTTGCCACCCAAGGATATAGGCACATAGGTGAATTCAATGAACTCAACTGGAATTCAAACTCAGCACTCAGATTCCACAATCCAAGCAATTAAACATTATTACACCATGCCTCTATGAAGTGACTTTATATAAAGTGAACATTGAAGTCAACAGAGGCGACAGGCTGTTTCATGCTAGATGCAATCGTCAGGCCACCTGATGATTGCGTCTAGCATGAAAAAGCCTATCGCCTCTAAGTGTTGACTTCAATGTTCACTTTGTCACATCAGCATAGCACACCTTAAGAGTATATTTCTTCAAATATATATATATATATATATATATATATATATATATATGTGTATGTATGTGATGACCAAAAGAAAAACAAACAACCAATTAACCAAAATTCAAGAATAAAATCAATAGAAAAAAAGGGAAAAGCAATAACATATAAGTATTCTTTAACTTATATTTTACATATTTTTTTTTTTTTTTTTTTTTTAAGCGTTTCACCCCAAGCAAGGCGGGAAGCCACTAGGATGCAAGGGGTTACAGGAAAAAGCAAGATCAGATAGGAGTGATAGAAGAAAGGATGAGGGTAATGGATAGATCAAGGCAACTGGAGATGTCGATTGACATTACACTTGAATGGCTGAAGATTATAGCTCGCAGGGAAACAGGAGAAGGGAAGGGAGTTCCACGTGCGAGACATGAAGCTATTAGAGTAGAAGAGACGGCTACATTTAGGAGTTTCGACAGTGAGGGGGTGAGAGCGGGATGCCAGCCTCATAGGGCACTGGAACTCATGACGTCTGGGAACCAGTGAATGCAGCTCCTCGATGCAATTTCCATGAAAGTATTTGTAGAACAGACAGAGGGAGGTGACGACACGTCTGTGAGAAAGTGACTGTAGACGAGACGCCAGGGCAGGGCCAACCACATTGCATATCCGCCTCTGGAGCCTATCAAGAACCCCGAGGCAAACAGAAGGGGCGCCAGACCATATATGGCAGCAATACTCCATGCAAGGGCGAAATGTGGATTTGTATAGCTGGAGGATCGACTCAGGGGAGAAAAACTTCCTAGCGTGGCTCAGGGAGCCAACTTTCTTCGCAGTGGACGAGGCAATTGACTCAATGTATTTATTCCATCTCAGGTCAGCAGTCAACGTGAGACCGAGAAACCGCAGAGAGTTGCTCTCGAGAAGTTGAGCATCAGACATTCTAATCGAGGGAAGGGAAGGCTCTCTGTGGTGATTAGGCCAGCAAGCAAATGGTTGTCTGCTTTATCGTCTTGAAGGTGACTGAAGATTTCGGCTTACCTTATGTCCAAGCGTCGACCAGGTTGTGAGTGGGGGGAGGAATCAACGGCCAATCCTCGGCCGACACCAACTAGTGGGCTTGGGAGGTATGCTTTCAATAACATTTACAAAGAGGAGATGGAGAGGCTAGTCAATTCCAATTTCAAACATTATATCAAGCAAAAAAGATACTGTCACAACATCGTTAGAATACTCACAAGACACCCTCGCATCTAGTTAAAGACATTCAATTTTTCCTCTTTTTTTTCTTTTTTTTAGTTTTCGAACCAGGGTTTCTTACTAAACTATCAAATAAGGAGAATCATTGGGACAAAATGCCTTTGGGTTGGGGAAGAAATAGAAAAAATTTAAAAACGAAAAAAATAAACAAAAAAAAAATAAAAAATAAAAAAAAATATATAAAATTATAAAAGTGAACATTGAAGTCAACACTCCAGAGGCAACAGGCTGTTTCATGCTAGGTGCAATCATCAGTTCTTGATGATTATGTCTAGCATGAAACAGCCTTTCACCTCTGAGTGTTGACTTCAATGTTCACTTTTATATTTATATTGACATATGCTCTATCTCTGATATTGAGCACTTTATCCCATAAATATAGCACACCTTAAAACTATATTTCTTTATATATATATATATATATATATATATATATGTTATGATGTTAATTTGGGGTTAATAAAGACAAACACCAAATAACATGTAACAATAAAATGGGGTTTATTCGGTTGGTAAGTTGGTACAGAAATCGCCTGAGTAGTCTATAACTAACTCAGCCCAGAACTTCTCCGACACTCTCTTTTGACATGCCACTATTTAACGTCTCTGTTTGTAGATGAGTTCATCTTCAAGAGGGGTGGTAGGTTTCTACACAACAATATATATATATATATATATGTGTGTGTGTGTGTGTGTGTATTATCATAAGAATTATATAATTATAATTTTTAAATTATAAAAGAATTAGTTATATTAAATTAAGTAATTATTACATTATCCAATCTGAATAATATTTGAAGGTCATTCAGGGAGCTGTGAAAATGATCATAGTAAAATTAGTGCTTGAAACTTGATTTAGTTACCAATTTTTGTAATTATTTTATTGAAATAGTTTTAAGTAACTTTTAACTAAGGCTGATGTGGTGTTCATTGAAAATCAGAACAAAATGGATTTTCAGTGGCAAAGAATTACTGTAAGTATTTCTGATAAACTAGACTAGAACGATTATATCTGTATTTGATAACCAAATGGTTAGTGACTTGGAATGAACCAGAGCTGGGTGTGTTACATTCACTCTCGTGCCTTTAGTACCCCCCACCCATGAGAGGCTCTTTAGCTATGATTGGTAACCAGTCTATGAGAAGGACAACTTTGAATTGAAAAGTTTATGGCCATATCGCATTGAGACACCAGTTCTTGTATGATCATCAAAGTTAAGCAACGTCAATCCATGTCAGTACCTAGATGAGTGACCACTTGGGAATACCAGGTGCAGTAAGCTTGGATGTGCGGGTGGTGTAATAGATAATGCCTCAGGTTTGTTAATCAGAGAGCTGAGTTCCAGTTCCAGTTATCATATTCATTGTCTTCTCTTTTTTTTTTTTAACAGTAAGGCTCCACCTGTACAAGGCCCAAGGGACATTCAAGTTAGAGCGTTATAAAGAGGCAGTCTATGCAGATAGGTAGGAAAGACAACAGTTAACCCTAAAGTTGAACAGGTTAAGATTATAGTGATCAGGGAAACATCCTTTTGGGAGTTGATTTCACAGAGCAGAGCTTCGTGAGAAGAATCTACTTGAGTGGAATTTTTTTCTCACCAATGGAATATGGAAGGAATCAGGGTGCTTAGCTACAATGTGAGTGGCATGGCAGGTTCTTGCTTTGAAGGTTAGAACTGGTAAGAACCAAGGAACGTAGCTGATCTGAGCACTTTTCATGGATGAAGTGATGGAGCATTGAGAGGCTTACCACATCCTGTCTGTCAGTGGTTGCAAGGTGGAAAATAATTTGTCACCCACAAGGATGTGAAGACACTTTTGGGCTCTATCAAGACTCAGGATTGGGCAGATCCTCCCCAAATATAACAGCAGTAATGCATGTTAGGTCTGATGTGATTCTTTTTAAAGGTAGATGATATCAAGAGGAGTCAAGTACTTACTGGAATGATACAGGAAACTGACCATTTTTCCTGCATCTTTAGTGATGGATTGTATGTTTGAGTTCCACTTGAAGTCAAGGATGAGTTTAAGACCTAATAGTTTCTTAACGCATGGTGCATCCATGAAAAGAAATCCATTTATCGTTACTGGGGGTAGTTCAGGATCAGATTGGTGATGATGAATGTAGCTAGTTTGGTTTTCAAAGTATTGAATGCAACCAGCCAGTTTTATCTGCACTGAGTTGTTCAAGCTAGATCAGATAAGAGATCAGCTGCCAATCTCTGGTTATCATGAGACATACAAAATACCCTTTGGAAAGATATGAATCCCATCTCCACCCACCCACCAAGCTAGAACTTAATTAGTAAGAATTGTATCTAAAATATTTTCTGGCTTTAAATAACCTGCAGAGGGTTGATAAGCTGTAAAAAATGAATCAATCACTACTTTTGACTTCTATTACAGTAATTATTAATGCTACTAGCTCTGTGTTATTAGAATTGCATGTTTAGCAATATATATATATAGTTAAACCTAGTGAGCCAGACAAACCTACCCAGGTTTCACCTAAGTTTAGGTGAAACCTGGGTAGGTTTGACCTAGAACATACTTCTTTTTCGTCCCACCCCAGACATGACATGACAAAAAAAAAGTGAACATAATCAAGAGATACATTGAGGTGTCTATTCATTTCATGTAGTAGAACATCATCTCATGATAACCGTTATAATGAAAAATAAAATAAAAATAAAAAAATTGTTGATGGTTATGAAAATAATAATAATAATAAAAATATTAACATGAAATAATTAAAAAAACTTTTAATATAAAAATTTTGATTGAATAAATAAAGTGATAAGTAAAGAACCATTTTAAGTAACTAAAACATAAATTTATACAGATTTATATATATATATATATATATATATATATATATATACATACATGCACAAACACACACCCATATATTTACATACATAGGCACAGATACAAACATATTTATATACACACATACATACATGTACATATAAGCATATATGCATAAAAGTACATATGTATCTGCATACACATATACAAAAACACAAACAACTATACATATATGGATATCCATACATCCATACACATAAGTATTTGTTGATAATAAAGATTAATAATAAAATTAATAATAGAACAGTAATATAAAAATATATATATGATTCCAATGCTACATAAGAGTTCTCATGTTTCAAAACAAGAGCTGAAAACTTCATTATAATTATTTGAATTAAATTAAAGTACCAAGCTCTGTCCCATCTTCAGGCGAAATTTTTTTTGGAATAACTTATTCCTGAAATATATGCATTTTATAAGCTTATTCATTATTGAAATTAAAATTACTATGGTAACAGCTAGAGCAATAGTTTAAAGAAAAGGGGCATAAGGGTTAATAACAAAAATACTAAAGAACTTTGGATTATTTACCTAACGAGTTATTTCCTATTTTCTATATATTTTTACACACACACACACACACACATATATAACAAAAATAATATTATAGATGAAGAAAGTAAAATTGATCATAATTTATGGTTATAGGTGGTGTAGTGGGGGGGGGAACCAGATAAAGGATCAAATATAAAAACTGCGAATGTATGTAAGCATACATGTTAGTATCACAAAATATTGAATACTTCAAATATAAAATTCATGAAAATAAATGTTATTTGAGAATTTTGAAACTGTTCTTATGTCTACACATGAAGACAAATTCACTTCATTTGTTCAATAATTCATCAGTGTTTACATAAGTTAATTATTATAATTTTTCTTTAATGTAAAGATTGCATCTGTCACTGAAGCTGTTAGGATTCCAAAATTGACAGATGATCCTCCATTTTATTTATTGGGTGATGCCTCCAACTTTGTGATTCCAGTAATGTTTAGACAGTCGTTTAGTATCTCACATGTTTTTCAATTAAATTTAAGAAATATTTGCCAATACTAATATTAGATAATTTACAGAATGGTGGATTAAGCCATAATGTCTCTCTTTTTCTGTTTTTGGATTTATTACTTGCATCGTTTTTACATGCGTATATTTTGGCAGTATGTTTTCATTGTGACATGTTTTGTTGAATAATTTAGATGTGTTTTGTCTACTTCTTTTCAATAGGATCCTTTATCTGTGAATATGAAATGATCCTATTGAAAATAAGTAGACAGAACATGTCTAAATTATTCAATGAAACATATCACAATATATATCATATATATATAATTGCATGTTTATATATATATATATATATATATATATATATATATATAATATTTGGATAGTATATCAGTATATAGAGCCCTTTTGTAAATAAGAATTTTTTTCTGTAAATGTTTGTCTACTGATGAACAAGACCTGAAATAGGTAGCCATTAGTAAGAATTAATGGAATCTAGTTTCCTCTGGAAAGAGAGAGAGTGACAGACATAATACTAAGAATTACATCAAACATACTAATCCTCTGGTAAGAGAGAGGCATAATAGTAAGAATTACATGAAACATACTAATCCTCTGGTAAGAGAGAGACATAATAGTAAGAATTACATGAAACATAGTAATCCTCTGGTAAGAGAGAGACATAATAGTAAGAATTACATGAAACATTGTAATCCTCTGGAAAGAGAGAGGCATAATAGTAAGAATTACATCAAACATACTAATCCTCTGGTAAGAGAGAGAGAATAGTATAATCAAACATAAGAATTACATCAAACATAGTAATCCTCTGGTAAGAGAGAGACATAATAGTAAGAATTACATGAAACATAGTAATCCTCTGGTAAGAGAGAGACATAATAGTAAGAATTACATGAAACATTGTAATCCTCTGGAAAGAGAGAGACAGACATAATAGTAAGAATTACATCAAACATACTAATCCTCTGGTAAGAGAGAGGCATAATAGTAAGAATTACATCAAACATACTAATCCTCTGGTAAGAGAGAGACATAATAGTAAGAATTAATGAAACATGGTAATCCTCTGGTAAGAGAGAGATATAGTAAGAATTACATGAAACATTGTAATCCTCTGGAAAGAGAGAGACATAATAGTAATAGTTACATCAAACATACTAATCCTCTGGTGAAAGGCATAATAGTAAGAATTACATCAAACATACTAATCCTCTGGTAAGAGAGAGACATAATAGTAAGAATTACATGAAACATTGTAATCCTCTGAAAGAGAGAGACAGACATAATAGTAAAATTACATCAAACATACTAATCCTCTGGTAAGAGAGAGACATAATAGTAAGAATTACATCAAACATAGTAAAAGAGAGAGACATAATAGTAAGAATTACATGAAACATAGTAATCCTCTGGTAAGAGAGAGACATAATAGACAGAAACATAATACTCTGAAAAGAGAGAGACAGACATAATAGTAAGAATTACATCAAACATACTAATCCTCTGGTAAGAGAGAGGCATAATAGTAAGAATTACATCAAACATACTAATCCTCTGGTAAGAGAGAGATAATAGTTAATCAAACATTACATGAAAGAATTATGAAATGTAATCCTCTGGTAAGAGAGAGACATAATAGTAAGAATTACATGAAACATGGTAATCCTCTGGAAAGAGAGAGACAGACATAATAGTAAGAATTACATCAAACATACTAATCCTCTGGTAAGAGAGATGCATAATAGTAAGAATTACATCAAACATACTAATCCTCTGGTAAGAGAGAGACATAATAGTAAGAATTACATGAAACATGGTAATCCTCTGGTAAGAGAGAGACATAATACATGAAACATTGTAATCCTCTGGAAAGAGAGAGACAGACATAATAGTAAGAATTACATCAAACATACTAATCCTCTGGTAAGAGAGAGGCATAATAGTAAGAATTACATCAAACATACTAATCCTCTGGTAAGAGAGAGAGATAAATAGTAAAATTAATGAAACATTGAATCCTCTGGAAAGAGAGAGACAGACATAATAGTAAGAATTACATCAAACATACTAATCCTCTGGTAAGAGAGAGACATAATAGTAAGAATTACATCAAACATAGTAATCCTCTGGTAAGAGAGAGACATAATAGTAAGAATTACATGAAACATAGTAATCCTATATCTCCCCCCAAGTCTTTGCGTGTACGTCAATGTAAGTGTCAAGTAGGACATGCTCAAAAACTGCTACTTCGAAAGGTTCACAAACATTAGATGTGAGGTTAAAGAGATTAAATAAGGGGAGAGGCGGAATACCATAGGCGTTTATATCGGAGGTTATGGTAGAGTCCAATTGTCAGAGGATACATCGTGAACAAAGAATATGGTATATATATGCAGTGACATCGAATCAGAAATCAGGTGAAGTCTGAACTGTCATAATATAGTCTTTGAACCACGTCGGCATGTGTTTAGCACGGCCTGATCTTCTTGGCGTGTTCAACATACGTGGGGAGGATTGGATTGTCTTTAGACTAGAGTGATTGGACATTGATGCTCGGGATGGCGATACAGTGGTATCAAAATTCAAGTCTCCGTCAAACGTCGGCTTTTCTCTGTCAAGTGGAGTGGTTTCTAGCACTGCTGGCGCGTTCCACTGAGTTTATGGTACTTTTGGTGAGATCACCGCTTGGACAGGTGGGTCAGAAGTGATGGGGTTCTTGGGTTCTGTGAGTTGGGGGTGATGTTGTTGTGACGTCATTTGAGACAATTGTCGGTGTCAAAGTAGCAGCTGCATTACATATACGAATGTCATTATCGATTGTCAGCTTTGAGGGAGGGAGTTGCACTGGGACATACTTCCGTAAGAATTTTCCATTCCGGAGTGTCACTCTTCTTATCACGTACTGGTCGAACTTCGATGTCTACCCCAGTTTTATCCCATTTACGTGCATACGGTCCAACTTGGTTTTGAATCCACACATGATCACCGACGACTAGTGGTGGCAGCTGTTTGATATGCTTCGATAATCTCTCAGCACACCTCATGTGGAGGTTCTGCAGGGCCTCTTCATGTGCTTTCCATGTGCTGCGCCACGTTTCACGAGGTCTATAATTTCCCGGGATTATGAGTATAAAGTCTCGAATAGGACGGCCAAAGATGCACATCGCCGGAGATAACTTTGCGTCTCTGTCCAATGTGTTCCTATACTGCAGCATTGCACGTTGGAATGAGACCGTGTCAATGGTTCCGGAGGGACTTGTATTGTCCATAAGAAGGCGCTTTACTGTCTTAACGCCGAGCTCTGCTCTGCAGTTGCTGTGAAGGAATGCTACTGAGGATAACCTATGGTGAACACCCCAATCAGCTAGAAACTGTTAAGTAATGCTAGCAGTAAACTCGGGCCCTCTGTCAGAGGCCAGCTCAACGGGTATGCCATGTTACAAAAGTACGTCTGAGGCAAGAGACGAGTCCAAGAGCCCCATCTGAGGACCTTTCAACTATTTGATAGTATAGTTGGGATGACGATCTACGATAACTAAGTAGTGGTTTCCTTTGTATGTGAAAAAATCAGCACAGAGACACTGGAAAGGGTATTCCGGGCTCGTTGAAGGGACTGGTGGAACGCTAGGATTAGATGACGCGTTACGATTGCATTGCAGGCAGCTGGCACGGAGTACTACAATAGCAGGTGTTATACCTGGCCAGAATACAGATGATTCAGCCCTAGCAATCATAAAGGTTACTTCTTGATGAGCTGAATGCAAGGCGCAGAGCACCCCGTCTCACAGGGATGGTGGAATAACGATGCGGTCCTTATAAACTATGACGCCGCCTATAGAAGACAGATCATCACGGAACTGAAAATACTCACGAATGGAGTTTGGCATTTCATGGCGGAATTCTGCCATGCCAGATTCTATGATCTCAGTCAATACTAGCATATCTTTGTCACTGGCAGTGGTGGTGCACACTCTGTCCCATGTGACTGACTTGAGGTTTAATGTATTTTGTGATGTGGTAGCGGCTTCAATCACACACTCCTCGATATCACTGTCAGTGGTGTCGTACACCCTAAGGTCAGGCAGTGATTGGGTCGGGTGTCGAAAAGCATCATGGTTCGAGGCAATCAATGCTAGGTCATCTGTCAAAATGAGTTTCACAAGTTCGCCTGTCGGATAGCGTGATAGGCAGTCAGTGGCATGATGTTTCACTCCGGGGATATGTACCATTTTAAACTTGTAGCGTAAGGTTTTCTCTTTGAGATTTTGTAAGCGCATGTTTGAAATATCCTCAAGTGATCAGTCAAGGAATACTTTTAGTAATGGTTTATGGTCGACCGCAAGTATGAGGTCTGAGCAGCCCAGGACAAAGTATCTAGCCTTGTCTAAGGCATCAGCGACGGCAAGGGCATCACCTACTATTGGCGTGTAGTATGATTCTGCTGCATGCGTAAACCGGTTACCAACTAGTGTGACTTTCCAACCAAAGTGACAACAGAAAGGCTCGTTTTTAGTGCAGCAACATTGTTTCTGTAAGAGCCAGAATCCAATGCCGGACTTTGACCAATCAGTCGCCAGGCAGGTTGGTTGATTTGGATCAAAGATGCAGACACGATGTTCAATTTCAGCAGTGGTTGCAGCTTTGGATTCATGAAAGAGAGCCTCTAGATCCTCATTCCACTTGAATTGGATGCCAGGTTTTAGTAGCTCCCGGAAGGGTAGCATCCGGCCCGCCATGCTGAATGCGTAAGAGACTTGATTAACTAGGCCAAACCATGAACGCACATCCGTGATGTTTTTCGGTGTCGGGAAGTCTAAAATTGCCTGTAAGTACTTCCTACATAGATGGACATCTTTATTTGTAATTTCGAATCCAGCAAATTCAACTATATCTGCTCCGAATATAAACTTATCTGAGTTCAGCGTAATACCAGTTCTCCCACAGATATCCAGCCAATTTACGGTCTGAAAGGAACTATCTTCCAGATTGTCGGTCCATAGTAGGGCATCATCAACACACTTCATCTTGTTTGGTATGTCTGCGACAATCTCATCGTATCGCCGCATGTATCCATCGCCGGGCGCAATATAGTCTTGTGGTGCCGTCCTGTAGCGATATCGACCCCAAGGGGTAATAAATGTAGTGAGATAGTGATCCTCCTCACATAGAGGTACGCTATAATAACCATTCCAAGCATCAAGGACAGTTTTCTTTTTACCAGGGGGTATTGACCATGCCTGGAGGAATGGTGATGGGGTGTGGTGCGTTTCACGAGTCGCGTGGGTATTCAGAGCTTGGAGAATCGACGGTGAGTCTGGGTTGGCCGTTTTTCTTTGCGCAGATCACCATCTTGTGACACCAGGTAACGGGTTCGCCAATGGGCACAGGCTCAATGACACCCAATTTCCCATCACGATCAAGTCCCTTTTTGACGTCATCCCGCCAATGTATTGGAACATGCACAGGTGTGTGATGCGCTACTGGTTCGACGTCTGGGTTCACCATCAGCCTTAGAGGTAGACAGTCCATCATGGGTAGTGTTTGGTGTTCACATGTGTTGAATGTGCTGGCACCATAAAAATTGAGGAGAAACTGCTGCAGCTTTTCACCGTTCTCGTCTGTTGCTGCAAATGGTAGTGTGGTTGGTGCTGGTGGCGGCGGTCAGCGTACTAGGCATCCACATGATGATTTATCTGTCCCATCTATGCTGGCAGCACTATAATTGTACATAGCATGCAGGGTAGGGAAGTCATTTGTTATAATGCCAAGATCTATGCAGGCTTCCCTACTCAAGAATAGTTTATCTGACGAGGGTATAATATACGTCATTTGTCTCGTTTCAATCAGTTGTTCACATGGATCTCTGCTAGACAGGCGTAACAGTATGGCTCCTAAGATTCTGATACTACTATTTGTTGCCATGTGCATATACATTGTCACTGGTATCAGGTCAGATTCGTGTAAACCAAGATGGTGGATCACTTAGGCCAGCCAGGCAGCTTTGGCAACGGGTGTCGGCCATGGCCGGCACACTAACGGCTGTAGAATGTGTCATTATTTCGATGCCTAGGGTTTTGTGATCTCCGAGAAGAGCCTCTACCGTCAGATTGATAAATGGCTGAGGTTTTGAATTTCGCTTGATCCAAGTGTTGGATAGGCTGTCATATACATGGTGGTCTAGTGGTATTCTGATTTGTTGTCGACCACGTTGGTTGCTATTTATATTGCAAACCTTATCATTGGATGAGCCGTTTTTGCGTTACACAGAGAATTAAAAACGGCATTTCCTTTATTGAATCGCTCTGTCTGTGATGGTCTTCTGTCATTAGGTGTGTCTTTACTACAGCACATGATTTCAAAGTGGTTGTCTTGGTAGCAGCGCTCACATTTGTGACCAAAGGCTGTGCACTGGTTTCTGCGGATACGTGTGGCGCTTTTCATGTCATAGCCGCGCTTGCCACAGTACGAGCATGGGCTCTGTTTATCCTCATCCAGTGGGTGCTTGGTTCTCTGATAAGATGAACGTGCAGCATCCACTGAATAGGTGTTTAATCTTGAGGCTGATCTTTTCCCAGCTTCTTTCACTTCAATGAACTGGAATACCTCCTCCAATGTCATATCCTGATTTTTATCTCCTAAGAGGTCTAATTGGACAGCAATTCCTCGGCGTAATATATCGCGCCCAATGGCATCGGTGTAATTCACGTTATACTTGCAACTAGGGCACATGATGACGAACCTGCAGATATCTGCCTGTCCATGTAGGTGGGCATCAAAGTTTCACACCAGTTTGTCTCGATCTTGTCGCATGTTGTGCAGTGTTACCCTTGCTACCATTGTGTTTTCCTTGCAAACAGCTAGTTTCTGAATGGCACACACGACTACATCTATGGTTTTGTCTGTAAGGTTGCCACCTGATGTGCGAGTGAGATCTCTGCAGAGTGGTTGGATCACCACTTCGCGCCTTGATACCTTTGTGGCTGCCACATAGTCGATCCAGCATGATTGAAAGTAAGCCCAGTCCTCGCTAGAACCAGCGGTGGTTAGAGTTGGCCGTTTGACTTTCTCAACAGGGGTAGTCTGAGCAGAAATACCAGTAGTGTGAACGGCACCATTGGTTGTTGAGTGCAGCAACAATAGCTGTGTCAAGATCTGATGTGGTGTAGTCGCAATTAGGGAAGGTGCACTGTACTGCAGGCATAGCGATTCAACCTTGATGTTTTCTCCAGAGAAGTCTTGTTCATAAATAAGAATGGAATCTATTTGTTCTGTAAATGTTTGTCTACTGACAATGAACAAGACCTGAAAGAGGTAGAAACACAATAGTAAGAATTACATGAAACATAGTAATCCTCTGGTAAGAGAGAGACATAATAGTAAGAATTACATGAAACATGGTAATCCAATACTTTATGTAATAATATAAACTTTTGCTGTATTATCAGAATAGGCGACATGACAACTTGAGCCAAAGGTTCTCTGCTAATGTGAATATACAATGATGCAAAAGCCATAAGGTCAATTCCAGGCTACTTGGGTATCTCCCAGGACCTAAAATAAAGTCTATAAAGGAAACTGATTTCAGGATTTTCACTGATTACAAACAACTTCAGGCTAGGCTTTGAAGTGTATGATTATTGAAAAGTAGGACCTAAAGCTAGATACAATCAAACTGATCAAGCCAATAAATTTTTAACTGCTTGTGATTAATATGCTTGAAGCTGGCAGTGGCTCCTTTTTAAACTTCTTGAGTCTGTTAGTTTAACACAAAACAATTAGAGGCTATATTAAGCTGTTTCAGCTATAATGAATGCATGTGCAGCTGTAAGAGCATTTCTTTGAAAAAAGAATCAATAGCTGATCAAGAAATAGTGAACTTCAAAAGAAATTGAGAACGATCCATTGTATATTTTAATCCTCGTAGAATTTGGAAAAGTCAAATATGGCTGCCAAGTTCAGGATAAAAGAATAAAAAGTGATGACATTTTAATTTGGGAAATATATCAGAGAGCAAAACTCCTGAGACTGATTTGAAGGTCATGAAATTTTTTTCCTTTTATTTTATTCACAAGCAATTTCCATATTTGCATTCTCTAAAGTTTAGAAAGGTTTTGAAATCATTGATTCTGATAAAATGTTGCCTTCTTTATGATTATAATTCAATTTTAAAAAGCCTAGTTTAACTTCTAAAAAGTAGATTTTATTTCATTGGAAACGGAAATAAACTCTTATATCGAACTGTATTTGGAATTCCTTGTTTTATAATAAATAAAATACAAAGAGCAGTGGATTCGAATAATGGTGAGAGAATGAGATAAAAGGGGTATTGAGTGTGTAGGAATCTGAGAAGAAAGAAAAAAAAACATTATGAAGCAGAAACAAGAAGAAAAGGACAGGAATTAAGAAGACAGAAAATAACCATTGACATTGCATTTAAATCAAGTGAGAAGTACGATAGAAGAGACTGTTAGCATTGCACTTATATCTAGCCATTTCAAGTGTAAAAGAATAAGACTTTACATCCAATCTAGTACTGTGCTTAAATTCATAAAGTCTAGGTACCAATATATATAAAAAAAAAAAGCTCATATAAATGAATCTGATGTATAACCGCTGTTAAATTATCTTAGGGATATTATCCAAGCAGCAGAAAATCTATCCCTAACTCAGTCCTGAATTACTCTGACAAGAATTCACCAGGCAACTGAAACTGGAAAAAAAAACGACTTAGTTTATGCCCAAGTGGTTCAATTTAAGCTATCTGAATCAGCAAGGGGGACTGGTTAATCCAACAAAGCATTAGTTTTTATAACCAGGAGGATGGAAGTTCAATCTGTATGCTGGGTAACAAATATTGTCTATAGAATAGAACTTAACAACAGTTACAGCATGCATTAAGATTATACCT